CTGAGAAACATCAAGAAACGTTTAGTCTTCCTATCAACAGCAAAACCCAGCATTTGTTTTTAATAAATCAACTAAACCTTAATGAAATATTATGAAAATAATTAAGCTAACATCTAAAGAGGCTTGAAACACACAACTAATTTACAAAAGTCCTGAAAACACTTCATTTCACCGTAAACAAGGAAAAACTCGTTCTTATTGAAGAAGCTGAAATCACTGATGATTCTAACATGTCAACATTTGTTTTCCTCCTAATTTCTTTCTTTACAGTAAACACTGCGTCTGTCAGAATGTATTATGGGATATATTTGCTCATGTAAGACTCTGGATCAGAACTGTGTGGATGTAAACAGCACCAGGATCAGCTGGTATAAATACACCCGGCAGCACGAGGCGGGACAAGAAGGGCCCGGGATTACAGGTGATGTCAGTGACCTCGGGTCACCACTCGGAGCGTTTCCCAGGGGATGACAGATTATCATCTGTGATGTTACAGCCAGGCAGCATTAGGTGGACTGGCTGATCTTACACTGCTCATCAGAGATGACGCTTATCCATTAAAGATGTATTTTAGACTCAAAATCACTGCATACACGCTCGTTCCAGCGTGTGAAATTGTTGAGATGTTTTGTATTTTGGTCATTTATTGTGTGAACAGAAATAGTTTTGGTTTAGGGAACTTCCACGGGCCCTCGGTCATGAAGACAGCGACACTGACATCGTTACAGAAAAGGTGTGTGACGCAGCTCTTCTGAGGCTCTTCAACTCCGACACTGAAGAAGAGGACTTCAGTGGTTTCAGTGCGCAGGAGGACGATGAATAAACTAATCAATAACTTTTCTGTTTTGTTTGACGCTGATCAGTTCAGTTACGTTCAGTTAAACTACGTTTTCAATTCAGTAGACATCTGCGGCTTTTAGCCCGGTGCAGCTTATATTGAGGTGCGCTCTATAGTCCGGAAATTACGGTAGTTAGCAGAAGATTCAAGTGTTTAGTTCCTCTGGTCGATCTGTGACAACAGAGTTAAAAACTTCAGCTTTCAGTTCCCGTTTATGACCGGTGAGAAAACGCAGACCCGTAGTTTCTTCTAGTTGGGTTTGGGTTGAAGTCTCAGAGCTGCAGAGCTAGTACCAGTCCTCCATCTCCTCCAGCAGGAGAAGAAGAAGGTTTCTGTTCTTGGGACAAGCTGAGAATAAACCACAACTTGGGTCTGATGTGAGTTCTGAGTTGTTTCAGGACCAGTGGCATCTAAAAACAAGTACAGACTCTGTTCCAGTAGTCTGGGCTCATGTACAGTCTCAGCTCTGTCTGTGTTTAACTGAACGTGCTGACAAGGTTTGTGGTAAAGTCATCCCTCTGTTGGCATGGGATCACAGACGGCTCATCCTGTGGGTTAGACGCAGTTAAAATAGATCTGCTGCTTCTATTTCCTCCACCTCAGAACCAGAGCTGGGATGTTTACCATGACGGGAGGTGCCCAATCCAACACTCTGACGCCTTGTCACAGTTAAGCTGCTTTAAGTCTTCTGTAAACACACTGCTAGGAGAATCCTCAGGAGCTCCACTTCCTCTGGTCTACAGGACCAACTACTTAAACAATATTAAAATGTATGTTTGCGTCATTCACTTGTTCTTAAATTCAAACTGATTTTCAAGTTCAACCATCTTTTTTTAAGATTGACACATGAATCAGATGTCAGATGGACTCGTGGAAATCTGCCTGCTGACTCACACACACAGTATGTGTTATACAGTTATGGTCAGAGGTTTACATACACTTGTAAAAAATATAATATAATGGCTCTACTGAGTGTCCCGTTATTTCTAAAACTCAGATTTTTCTCTGATAGAGTGATTGGAACAGATACTTCTTTGTCACAAAAAACATTCATGAAGTTTGGTTCTTTAATGTCTTTATTATGGGTTAACAGAGAAAAGTTATCACATTTGCTGGGTCACAAATATACATACAGCAACATGAACTAGCAATTTTGGTGACTTAGAAACGTGTCAGTGAACTGAGCTTCATAGCATGGCCTCTTAACTTCTTGTGAGTGATTACGAGTGACTACAGCTGGTGACTTCTCTTAGGCCAGGTAAATAGGGCTCATTGGATACAAACGCCCACAAACGCTACAATGGGAAAGTCAAAGGAGCTCAGCATGGATCTGAAAAAGTGAATTATTGACTTGAACAAGTCAGGAAAGTCACTTGGGGCCATTTCAAAGCAGCTGCAGGTCCCAAGAGCAACAGTGCAAACAATTGTTTGTAAGTATAAGGTGCATGGCACTGTTTCATCACTGCCAAGATCAGGAAGAAAACGCAAGCTATCACCTGCTGCTGAGAGAAAATTGGTCAGGAGGGTAAAGAGTGAACCAAGAATCACCAAAAAGCAGATCTGCCAAGAATTAGAAGCTGCTGGAACACAGGTGTCATTGTCCACAGTCAAACGTGTTTTGCATCTCCATGGACTGAGAGGCTGCCGTGCAAGAAGGAAGCCCTTGCTCCAAAAGCGGCACCTTAAGGCTCGACTGAAGTTTGCTACTGATCACATGGACAAAGATAAGACTTTCTGGAGGAAAGTTCTGTGGTCAGATGAAACGAAAATCGAGCTTTTTGGCCACAATGCCCAGCAATATGTTTGGAGGAGAAAAGGTGAGGCCTTTAACCCCAAGAACACCATGCCTACAGTCAAGCATGGTGGTGGGAATATTATGCTGTGGGGCTGTTTTGCTGCCAATGGAACTGGTGCTTTACAGAGAGTAAATGGGATGATGAAGACGGAGGATTACCTTCACATTCTTCAACATAACCTAAAATCATCAGCACGAAGGTTGGGTCTTGGGCGCAGTTGAGTGTTCCAACAGGACAATGACCCCAAACACACATCAAAAGTGGTAAAGGAATGGCTAAATCAGGCTAGAATAAGGGTTTTAGAATGGCCTTCCCAAAGTCCTGACTTAAACCCCATTGAAAACATGTGGACAGTGCTGAAGAAACAAGTCCATGTCAGAAAGCCATCAAATTTAACTGAACTTCACCAATTCTGTCAAGAGGAGTGGTCAAAGATTCAACCAGAAGCTTGCCAGAAGCTTGTGGATGGCTACCAAAAGCGCCTAATTGAAGTGAAAATGGCTAAGGGACATGTAACCAAATATTAGCACTGCTGTATGTATATTTGTGACCCAGCAAATGTGGTCACTTTTCTCTGTTAACCCATAATAAAGACATTAAAGAACCAAACTTCATGAATGTTTTTTGTGACAAAGAAGTATCGTTTCCAATCACTCTATCAGAGAAAAATCAGAGTTTTAGAAATAACGGGACACTCAGTGATAGGTAATTTGATTTTATCCCATATTACCTTAAAGGACGACACACCCGAAGAGAGAGAGAGAGAGTAAATTGATTATTTGTAATGTCCATGTGTGTGGCTCAACCAGGCCCCATGTCCATGTGTGTGGCTCAACCAGCCCCCACTCTGCTCCAGCCTCAAAGCTTTCTCCTCACCTGCTCTGTATACCTCCATTCTTCAATTATCTGGTAGATAATATTTAACCTCCATAACCCTGGAACCTGAAATAAACACACATGACAACAAGGAAGACATTTTACACTGAATTAGCCAAATGAGGGGGAGATCACCGAAATGACACATAACTCTCTCCAGAGCTAGCTGCCAGGCGACTCCCCCAGTTCTCAGAGTCTTCAGTGGTTTTATTCAAGCAAAGGATGGGGGAGAAGGCGGGCCTTCTCAAGTTGCAGAGGTACAGAGTTTTCTCAATCAACATCCTTGTTCAACCTTTTCATGAACAGCCAACACAGAGATGCATGATGTGTAATGGGCATCTTTTACGCCTCAAAAAGGTACATTTATAAAAATACCCAACACTCAGTAGAGCCATTATATTATATTTTTTACAAGTGTAAGGAAACTTCTGACCACAACTGTATATGGATGGCAGTGGCAGAGCAGTTAAGTGCTCATCATCTCAAAACTGGAAAGTTGTGGGATGGCCTCCCACTCAGGCAATTGCAGTCATGTCCACGGGCAGGACACTTAACCCACTTAACCCAGCGGCCTTGCCTCCATCAGCTGTGGCTACATGGTAGCTCATCACCGCCAGAGTGTAAATGTGTGTGAGTGAGTGAATGACTGATTGTGGTGTAAAGCGCCTTGGGGGTTGTAAAACCCTAGAAGGCACTATACAAATACAGGCCACTTATATACAACTAATAGGTGCTATAGTCTGACTTTTTCCCACACATGCCTGAAAAAAGGCCACAAATCCCCTATCGCGCCCTGTGACCAGAATACTACATTTGCAACTTCAGAGTGGCGAGCCGCTCTGTTAGGACGTGGAAAAGATTGAGCTAACATACATGTTTATTTATATTTTTAGCAGACCCTTTTGTCCAAAGCAACTTACACGTGATAATCAAGCCAGCAGGTTGCCCTTGAGGCTAACAGCAAACATTATTCAGTCAATCTTAGAGGCAGTGAGGCAGCATAATCATTGATGGAGGGAAGTGAACATGGTGTGGACAGTAGAGTTGGGGACGGGTGCTGGGAGGGTCCTAGTTTAGAAGATGCTCTCTGAAGAGCTGAGTCTTCAGGAATTTCTTTAAAATGGACAATGACGCCCATGTTCTGGCAGTGCTTGGTAGGTCATTCCACATCTGTGGATCAACACACAAAAAGAGTCTGGATTGTCCTGAGAGTTGGGTAGGCACTGCTACCCGATGATCCTTTGATGACCAGAGTGGCTGAGCCGTGACGCAAGCCTTTGCAAGAGGATTCAGGTAGATGGGTACCATCCAGGACTTTGTATGCTAATGCTAGCGATTTGAATTTGATGCGTGTAGCTAACGGTAGCCAATGGAGCTCAGTGAACAGACAGATGACATGTGCTCTTATAGGCTGATTGAAGATCAGATGCACCGCTGCATTCTGGACCATATGAAGAGGTCTCACAGTACAGCCTGGAAGACCAGTTAGA